TACGAAACACCCTTGTCAGTGAAGTTGCAGTCAGTGATGCCAGGAAAGCAATCCGGTAGCACAGCACAGCGCGTGAGGAGTAGCGCACACAATGAGCGACTCCGTGTTCGTGAGCGTTCGGTTCTTCGGCCGGCGTCGGGCTTTAGACAAGAGCAGACGACTTCTGTTGTCTTCGCCGAGTAATACATATAGCTAACTCCGCCGGCTGCGGGAATCTCGCGCTATAGACTTCTTTTGTTATTTCGCCGCTCGTAGGCCCGCCTCATGTATTTAGAAACATTGTAATATAATTCTTATGTTGCTCAGAGTATGCATTATTAAAGTTGTAGACATTATAGGAATATTGTATGAGTAGTAGATAAATGAATTTTACCTGAAATCGCCGAATTTTCGTGTATTTGAAAGATATTTGCTATATTTCTGAGTACTACATTCAAAGATATTGTAAAAAATGCCGGGCATTATTAATGTTATGTAATTGAAAAGTTGAACGAACTTACCTGTAAGTGAAGTTCGACTGTAATTATATGAAGAGCCTCGTTCAAAGAGATTACGATGTAGTAGCTCTCCTCGCCGCCAGAGATCACAACCGTTTAGAGAAAATTCACCAATAGCGCTTGTCAGCGCCTTCCCACTCGCGCCCCCCAGCTCTCGCTCACTATTTCATCATTCTTTTTAGAGGTAAAACTGTTTTAAATTGCTTGAGGGTAGGTATTCTTATATGTTTATCTGTGACAGTTATTTATTGGGAGGGTCGTAATCTCTTCGAACGAGGCTCTTCATATAATTGCAGTCGAACTTCACTTATAGGTAAGTTCGTTCAACTTTTCAATTATATTTCGCGCCTCGTTCTCGAGATTACGATGTAGTTCTTTAGAGATCAAATTTAAGCAATTTTAAAAGTCTTTTTTTTTTTTTGGAGTATTGTGTGCTTATAAAACGCCTTTCTATTCATCTAAAGATTATTACAGATATTAACTAAATAATGGCTTAACACAATTAAACATACCCTATTGAAAATATAACAATCTAATGACTTAAAATTGTTTTTGCAAAGCTACCGACTTCTGTGGAAATTGGTTTGTTATAAAATTTTTCGAAGACCCTAGATTTTTCTGTCCAAGTTGCCGTTCTTTTAATTGTTGCAAGGTCTATACTTTTCTTAAAGGCTAACGAGGTAGTTGCATGTCGAACCGAATGAGCCGTGAAGACATCAACGTCTATGCCACTCTCACCTAGCACCTTTTTTATCCACCTGCTTACTGTTTGTACTTTGACAGCTACGAAAGGTTTCTTTAGTGATATAAAAAGTTTTTGGGTTGTACCCCTTGATCTTTCAGTAGTCCCTAGATATTTGATTAGTATGGAAGCGACACACAACTGGGTTTTTCCCTAAAGAAAGGAAGAATCAGCACAGGTTGATCTCTTCCCGGCCCTGAGATCTTTATCTTATCTTCTATTTTTATTTCAATATTGTTATGTCTAATATAAATATTTTGTATTTTAATATTCGCAATAGTCTGAGCTCGATGTGCTGTACTTAGTGCTAAAAGAGTTACCGTCTTTGCTGTTAGTTGCCACAGGGATAAGTTTTCTAACGGATACTACTTCTCTAAGTATCTTAACAAAATAGATACATCCCATGTAATTGGATATTTTGGTTTTGGTGGTCTTAACTTAAATACTCCTTTCATAAATCTGCTAACTATTTCTAAATCGCCTATTTTGTTTTTTGTGATCAGCGATATTGCACATCTTTCTGTGTTAAGAGAACTGTAAGAAATTCCGCTCTTAAATCGTTTTGTCAAAAAGGCAAGTATTGTATCTGCTGTAGGTGAGAAAAATTTTTTCTTTGAATATTTGCAGAACTCCCCCACTGTCTTAGTGCTGCTTCATATTGTTTGACAGTTGACCTAGCTAGCGATGCCAATAAAATTTCGATCGCCTCTTCTAGTGTTTTTTTCTTTAAAAATTGGCCGATACTTGCCCTGCCATCAATGTGATACGTTTGTTCTGGGGATGACTTCTCTTCCTGCATGATGATAATAATAATAATAATAATAATGAATTACCTGGTTTAAAAATCAATGGTTCCTCTATCAATAACTCTTTAAGTAATGGAAACCATGGTTGGTTTTCCCACTTGGGAATTATTAAAATTCCTGTCGCTTTGTCTTGTTTAATTTTTACTAGCGTTTTTAAAATCATGGCAAAGGGTGGAAAAGCGTAAAAATTTAAATTTTTTCAACTTATCGTGAAAACATCCATCGCAGAAGCCTCCGGGGTGGGAAAACGGGAACAAAAAAGGTCACATTTTTTGTTTGAATTAGACGCGAATAAATCTATTTTTTATCTTCCAAATTGCTCAGATATCTTACTAAAAACCCAATCTGCTAATATCCATTCTGTATCTCCATTTTTTATTCGCGATAACTTGTCTGCTTCCCTGTTATCTTCGGATGCTATATACACAGTCTGTCCCAGATACTATGAGACTGGTTCCATCAAAGTTCTTAGCGCAGCGATATCTATGAGTGAATGATGGTAGGTGAATGTTCTACCCTTCATCTACTTAACCTCAAAATTTGAGCGAATTTGGTTGATATTTCACTGTGGTTTGACATTTTATGTAAAGTCATTTTGTGTACGTCGGTCGAAAAACCAACATGGAACATGTTTTAAATTGGATAAAAGTGGTGCAGAAATGTACGAAACGCTAAAAAATGTGTATGGGGATAAATGCATGTCCCGTGCACAGGTTTTTCGTTGGTTTGGCCGATTCCGTGACGGTCGTGAGGACCTTGCAGACGATGACCGAGCACCGCCGCCAAAAACCACTCGCAATGAAGAAAACATCGAGAAAGTCAAAGAAATTCTTCGAAGCGACCGCTATGTGTCTGCGAGATTTATCGATGAGGAAACTGGGATACCGAAAAGCACAGTCTATCGAATTTTGACCGAAGATTTGGGCAAACGGAAGGTTGCACGATAATGCACCATCGCACAAAGCCATCATGATACGTGAATTCTTGACCAAAAAAGGCATCATTGTTATCGATCATCCACCATATTCACCTGATTTGGCTCCGTGCGACTTCTGGCTATTTCCCAAACTGAAATTGACGATGAAAGGAAATCGTTTCGATACCATCCCGGTCATCCAAAAGACTTCGACCGCCATATTAAAGGCCATTCCAGCCGATGAGTATAAAAAATGTTTCGAAAAATTTGTTAAACGTTTCCAGCGCTGTATTGACTCAGAAGGAGACTATTTTGAATAAACAAGAATAAAAAATCAAAATAATAAACGCTTTGTATTTTTTTTAGACCAGTCTCATTGGATCTGGGACAGACTGTGTATGATGCCATTAATATTATCTTTCTCTTTTCCGCCCATTGCCATATTTTTCTTGCCAGTTCGTTGAACTTTTGAAATTTTACACTTCCCATCTTATTTATATACGCTATCGCTGTTGTATTGTCTACCCTTAACAGAATTCTGCAGTTTCGTCATTCTGATGCTAAATTTTCTACTGCGTATTTGACTGCTAGTAATTCTTTATAATTTATGTGCCATGACTTTTGTTCTTTATTCCAAAACCCGTATATTTTTCTCCTTCCATCCGTAGCACCCCAACCAGTGTTTGAGGCATCCGAATAAATTACTAAATTAAATTTATCTCTTTTAATAGTACTACTTGACCCTGAGGTCAACGAGACTTTCCACCAGTCCAAGTTCTCAAGAATATACTTAGGTATTCGCATCTACTGATTATAATTTCCTCCGGCTATTGTTAATGCTCGTATCTTTGCCCTTTCCAGTGATTTTATATAAAGCGCTCCATATTCTACGGCATGGCAAGCTGCTGTTAGTTTTCCTATTACATGTGCCATTTTCCATATCCGACAATATGATCTGTTATAGAAACTTTTTACCAATTCTAATAACTTTTTTTGTCCTTTGGCAGCTCTAAAGAAAATTTATTTGTATCTATCAAAAAACCTAAGAATCTACATCGTGTTTCTGGATGTAACTGACTCTTTTCCTTGTTGATAATAAACCCCACGGACTCTAACAAAGAGGTTGTATTTCTAATGTTCTCTAAACATTCTTCGAAAGAATCTGCTATGCAGAGTATATCATCTAAATAAATGACCGATTTCCAGCCCCTTTTTCTTAGATATCTTATTACTGATGTAAGTAATTTTGTAAATTCTCTGGGGCTGGTACAGAGGTCAAATGGCAAACAGGTAAACTGATACAAGGTATCCAGGAATTCAAATCTTAAGTATTTTTTACTACTTTCATGTATAGGAATCAGATAATATGCATCCTTTAAATCAATATTGGCCATATAACTGTTTTGATTTACTAGTTTTGAAGCTATTCTTATATCTTCAAGTTTAAAATGTTGAACTTCTATAAATTCGTTCAGATTTTTTAGATTTAATATGAATCTAAACGATCCATCTGGCTTCTTAGTTAGAAAATAAGATGATAGGAATTGCTTCTTTGAATGATTACAAACTTCTATTGCCCTTTTTTCTAATAATGACTGAATGCTGGCTCTCATGTCTCTTAATTCTTTGTCTGAATTGAAACGCACTTTCGGAATTTTTCTCTGATAAACTTTTTTATAAAATTTAATTTTGTAACTCTCTATCATCTCTATTACGATCTTGTTATCGGTTATCTTTCTCCATTTGTCTTTAAAATACTTGAGTCTGCCCGCTATACCTACGTTTATCTCCGGTTGCTTGTGTATCGTTTCCTTGTTCCTCTCTGTCCCCCTGTTCTGTAATGTCTTTCTTGGGGTGTTCTGTATTTTCCTCTGAAAGATAGCCTTGGTCGGGCCTGTTCGGATATATAGGTATGGCCCCTTCTGTTGGGAGGAGGCCTCGCCCCATAGGCCCCTGAAGTTTAAAGTCTGTCTGTTTGGTGTAATGTATCTAGCCGACGTCGTAAACTGTGATTTCATAGTTTGTCTCATTCTTTCTAATGCTTTCCCCTCTCTAATTTTTTCTTCTAGTTTTTCTTCAAAGAGAAATTTGTCCGACATAGTTTTTTGTAAGATTGCTTCAATTTCTTTTGACAGCCCTGGAAGAATAAATGCTTTTCTACACTCCGATTGGTTATGATGTACAATTGTAATGAATTTTGCGTATCTAACAACCTTTCTATCACTTCTATCTTATCTATATCTTCCTCTTTGCTGCACATTGTTAATACCGCACCTATCGCAGTCAATGCTGACCCTGCTAAAAATTGCGTTTCTCTTCTATGAGAATCTCTTTTGCTCGCCGAATCTCCCAATGATACTATTATTTCTGCGTTTAACATTGGTGCTTCTAATTCTTCCGGTCTGACATATTTACCTAATAATTTTTCTTTATCTTTTTCAGGAACCCCTTTCCTAATCCAAAATTTCCACCTTTGTACAAACGTTGGATGAATATCGAGATTTAGGGATTGTGAAGCTGCTGGGTCTTCTCCTAAGACCTTTAAAATCTCCTCCATCTAATGGTTTTCCTTCCAGAGTCGACTGCGTTTCTGGTATAATCGTATTTTTCTCCCTAGTTCTTTCTGCATCTATATTCGAAACCGGATGAGCTACAAAAATTTTGATTCTTCTGTTAACTACCATTTTTGAGTTCTAGTTCTAACCTGTCTTGCCGCTCGTGCAAGCGCGTTAGATATCATCTTATTTCCAACCTGTTTTTTCTTGTTAACCCTGGTGAAACCCCTTATGGGTACCCATGGTCCCTGGGGGAAGCCCGTGGGTTATGTCGGATTCGTACCGACTAAAACACCAGGGGGGTGCCTGCCTTCGGGAGTGGCGATAGGCGGCCGTAGGAACAAGTACCCTATTCCTTCTACTAAACCGCCACCCCCGTTGGCTCCGCTCGCAGAGCCCCAGACCATCTTTGGCCCCCCGCGCACCACTGGACTTATGGGGGGGATGGGAGGGGGGAGCCACACGGCTAGACACGAGAAAATCCTCGTGCTGCCTGTGTAACTTCCAGAACCTCCGCTCCCTTCTGTCCTCCCCCCAGCCCAGGAAGGGGGAGCGGGTAGAGACGGCCCTGAGGCCGCTTGCCCACTCATAACCGCCATTCCTGAGCCGGAGAGCGCCGTCCAATCGAGGAGTGCGCGGGGTAAACCGGGGCCAGGTATTGTCTCTCTCAACCCGATACGTGGAGGGAGAGATATCTGGCCCCATCCGGCCGTGCTGCAGGGCCGGCGAGGGAGGAGAGGCACTCGCCCCCTCCCTCAACCCCATCTCCGGTGTTCGAGGTGGGGTTAGGAACCGCGCCCGGTCCCCCACCCGGGACACGGTTCCTCCTCTCCTCCCTCTCTCTCCCGACCCACACCGGTCCAAAAGAGAGAGAGGAGGGAGGCTCCCATCCGGGTCTAATGATCCGGCGGGAGTAGGTCCTTTTTAGCCGGGTCGCGCAGCATTCGCCCAGGTCCCCCGCGGCAGGGAAGGCCGGTCCCCTCTCTACGTGAGGAGGACCAGGTCCTCCTCCCCACGGCCCAGGACCGCCGGCGACTCCCCAGATCCGAAGACCTTGCCGTCACCACTTCGGCGAGCACCACCCTTGCGGACAACTGCGCTAACGCACACGTCCGCATTTACAGCTGCTATCCAGTGGCTCCTTCCTCCCTTTACGATGGGCGCGAAATCGCACCCACCCCCGCTATTCCCTCGTTGGGGGGGGCGGCCCCGGCGCCTTCCGCGCCCGCCACCCCTCTTCAGGACCAGCCAGCAGGCTGAGCCGGCCTCCCTCCCACTCTCTCGGCACACCGCGCACTCGAGGGTGTTGGAACACTCCCGCGCGGTGTGCCCGCCTCGGCCACACCTGAAGCATAATTCGCTGCGGTCAACCGCAGCGGTACACTGTTCTCTCGTGTGGCCGAGGCCCCAGCACCTAAAGCACTGAGGTGGCCGAGCCGCCAGCAATACCACACTGACTCTCGACCACCCCAGTGCAAACGTCCCTTCCCGAGCCGCCTTCACCGCAGCGGCTAACGGAAGACGGGACCATACCGTCCCTCGTCCTCTCGGTCCCCACTTAAGGGGGCCGAGTTGGATGTCCCTCTCCGCGCATCCGGCGCAGTTCGCGAGGGATTTCAACAGATCCTCAGGGGAGGCCGTCTCATTAAAACCTGTGAGGCGGACCACACCTCTTTGCACCGGGCGGCTAATGGCCGCTTCAGGCAGCAACTCCTTCAGCCTCGCGGCTAACGCATCCGCCCTGGATCCCTCAGGGCCCGGATCCCCGACGCGGACGATCATTGCGCCATTGACGCTTCGTCCCACATCCACGTCACCGGGTCTAACTATAACTAAATAACTAAATTCTTTTTTGATATCTGAATAGATTAATAGCGCGCCTAGCGCTCTTGTTTTGTCTAGTACTGACAAAAAAATCATAAAAATATAATTAGTTATTATTTGTAACATCAATTTACCCTACAAAATCAAATAAAACAAAATAGAAAATATACTAACTTGCAAAAATATACTTACTTGCAAAAAGAAGTAACACGAAATACATACTGTTGTTCCAGAAAACTCAAAATTATCTCATATGTAAACTATAACATAATCAACAGAAAATTGATTGCTTCAGCAGTTGTTAGCTGTTGAAGATACATCAAAAAATTATTTTTCCAAGGCGGTTATATTCCCTCTACTTATTAATTCAACCAATTGTACAGTATCAAATTACGTCCAAAGTCTCGGAAATCTCACACTGTGCGTATAAGGTTAATTCAAAATCTCTTATTACAATCAGCCAAATTAAACTTAAGAGGTACAATGTATCAGAAACGTCGGAAGCCACAGAATCAAATATTTTCTCAGATTTCCGTCAAGTAAGAGGGGGAAGGGAGAAGACTGGCGCCAAAAGTTAAATATATTTATTTAAAAATAATTATGCGGCGGAACAATTGTTAAAACTGATTGAATTGTATAGAACTCGAATAGAACAAGCGAGAACTATCATCAGAAATATAAAAAGTCGTCAGCACGACACATTTTTGCCGAGTGTCGTACTGGCGCCAAAAGGTAAAATTTATTTAAAAACAGTTATACGACGGAACAATTGCTAAAACTGATTGAATTGTATAGAATTCGAGTAGAACAAGTCAGAACTACCATCAGAAGTGCAAAAAGTCGTCAGCACAACACACTTTTGCCGAGTGTCGTGCTGGCGCCAAAAGATAAAATTTATTTAAAAATAGTTATACGACGGAACAATTGCAAAAACTAATTGAATTGTATAGAATTCGAGTAGAACAAGTCAGAACTACTATCAGAAATGCCAAAAGTCGTCAGCACGACACACTTTTACTGAGTGTCGTGCTGGCGTGAAAAGATAAAATTTATTTAAAAATAGTTATACGATGGAACAATTGCTAAAACTTATTGAATTGTATAGAATTTGAGTAGAACAAGTCAGAACTACCATCAGAAGTGCGAAAAGTCGTCAGCACGACACACTTTTGCTGAGTGTCGTGCTGGCGTAAAATACTTAAAATAGTTAAAAATTGTTAATTGTTGGAATTTTGTTCTGAAATGCTTCATTACTATGGAACTAGTCTAGGACTAACGGGAACACTCGTCGTAAAGTATATTTTGCATCTGCTTCTTGTACTTTAGAAGAGGCTGTGTCGTGCTGGAACGTGAAGTTAGCACATTTTTCATTTCCGATTTTTTGGTATTATAAATGCGGAACTTTTTTTTTTTATCAGGAACTATAGAACAACGAAAAATGCTACTGGAACAGATATTTTTTTTTTTTTAATTAAAACGTCGTGGTAACTTCACAGACATTCGAGCGGTTAGCTTTTCGATGTCGTAAACAAGGGGAGCCGCTGAACTCCTCAAATCCGCGGTAACGCGTATGCGCGGCGGCAATTCGACTGGCGGAAAGATCATACGCTCGCGGCGCCTATTGTCGAAAGAGTTCAATCATTATCTGATCTCCGACTTGAACGCAGTTTTACATCATCAAATCTCCGAACCTAACTCAATCCCACATATGTAAATATGTATTAAAGCTTGGCATAATATCAGGTGTAGTAAAAAGAAATCCATTATTTTTCCAATAGATGGCTTTAGTTATCTGTATCTCGCGTTTTATAAGTCCGATCGGGTTCCACTAGATGGCGTTAGAAAGATGAGATTTCGTACTAAAAAAACTTTTGTGACAGTTTTGTGATTAGTTGACTCAGTTTTATTTGAGCGCGCGTCAAAGATGGACACTAGCAAAGAGAAAATACGCTATATTTTACAGTTTTTCTTCGATAAAGGCGAAAACGCAAGCCAGGCGGCTGAAAATGTGAATAGTGTTTATGGTCCTGATACTGTAACAGCTAATCACGCGCAATTTTGGTTTCGTCGATTCCGTTCCGGTAATTTCGATGTCAAAGATGCACCATGCACTGGAAGGACGATTGTCGAAAATATCGATAAAATCATGGACATTGTCGAGTCCGACCGTCATATAAGCACTGTTTCGATTGCCCAAGAGCTAAAGATTACACAAAAAACCGTTTGGAACCATTTGAATAAGGCTGGATACAAAAAGAAGCTCGATGTATGGGTGCCACACGAGTTAACGCAAAAAAACCTCTTGGACCGAATTTCCATCTGCGAAACGCTGCTGAATCGCAACAAAATCGACCCATTTCAGAAGCGGTTGGTCACTGGTGATGAAAAGTGGATCACTTACGACAACGTCAAGCGAAAACGGTGGTGGTCGAATCGCGGTGAGCCGGCGGAAACGGTGGCCAAGCCAGGATTGACGGTCAGGAAGGTTTTGCTGTGTCTTTGGTGGGATTGGCAGGGAATTATCTACTATGAGCTGCTCCCCTACGGCAAAACTCTTAACTCGGAACTGTACTGTCAACAATTGGACCGTCTGAAGGAAGCAATCGCCCAGAAGAGGCCAGCTTTGGCCAATAGGAGAGGAATTGTGTTCCATCAGGACAACGCCAGGCCACACACATCGATAGTGACTCGCCAGAAGCTCCGGGAGCTTGGTTGGGAGGTTCTTATGCATCCACCTTATAGTCCGGACCTGGCACCAAGTGATTGCCATCTGTTCCTGTCCATGGCGAACAATTTTGCTGGTGAAAAATTCGCTTCAAGAGAGGCTTGTGAAAATCGACTGTCTCAATTTTTTGCCAATAGGAACGAGGGTTTCTATGAGAGAGGCATAATGAAATTATCTTCAAAATGGCAACAAGTTATCGAACAAAACGGTGCATATTTGACCTAAATCGGATCATTCTATCTATGGTAATTAAAGCCTTCAATTTCATGCAAAAATAATGGATTTCTTTTTACTACACCTGATATATATAGATATATATTATTCATATAATTGCACACAATCAACAAAATCATATATACGACACATAAGTCAAATTGCTTCACATAAAATCTCATTAATATAACCTTATTTTGTTACTTAAAGTACAAGTTAATTAATGATATGCTAGATAATACTAACGACAAACGACTCTTATCATATTTTGCATATTTAGTGATGCCAAAAAGAAAACGGTTTTCAACTTAGGAAGTATAATCGGTTA